CAGCCCCGTAGCCCGAGCCCTGTGAGCCCAAGTCATGTGGGTGTCTTAATTGCAGCGGAGACATACCCCTACAGAGGCTGGGAGTCTGTGGTTCAAGTTCAACAAACTCTAACTCCAAAGAGAACACCACAGAGCTGACCTTTTCCTTGTCCCACATTTTTTGCCCAGGGATCTTTGTCTACTTCCCTGCACCACTCAACAAGCCGTGAGCAGCCCTTCTTCCCTTAGACGCCTTTAGGCCACGGTAGCCTGAAGCTCTGTTTCTTTCTTCTATGGTTGATGGCCCCCTTCAGTTATCTCCCACAGGTCTTTTGGAGGCAATAGGGTTTGGGCAGACCATAGGTTGCTACTACCTTAAGTCCTTATAAGGAGAGGGATTGGCCTTGCATTGTCTTCAATGCAGTCAGGATCAGCCTGTAGAGTTCTAAGTCTGACATCTTCCATGACAGTACAACTGGGCAGTTTGTAACATTGTCTGTAACAAACACAGAGTAACATAATCATGTAGGAGCAGAAGCAGGAAATTGTCCCGTCATGTCTGGAACTGCTTGATGATGACTCTGCCATATTGATCCTACACACTTATCATCATCTTACCCATTTCAATGTTGAGTGGCTATTGTTTGTGTTATCACACTGTAAAAACAAGGCTAAGAAAGCCTGTAGTTACCTGTTTACAGTATGTCAGGTATCTGTGTTATACCGTGTAGAACTACAGCTCAGGGGAATGTCAAAAGATTAGGTTTAAATGTCTGCTTTGGATCTTAAATTGCTGGGTGACCAAAGTTATCCATAATTCTCTTACCAAGTAAGAGTAAACTTTCCTGAATTAAATGTGGTATCTTATTCCTGCTGCATTTCAAACATCATAACATTTTGATCCTGACAGATTGAATAAATGCATGACACTGACCACACAGTCAGATCTTTCATGAACTCTTGGCAGCTGTTATTTCAGTTTCCAATTTCATATGAACTATGCTGAATCTGAATGCTTCCCCAAGATTAGATAGTTATTGATGCACAACTAAAATTTACATTTAGACCACACATGCTTTATTTAATAAGTTGAGGAGAAGAGGAAAGGAACAAAAGCTTGGTGTGTTGGCTGAGGTCAAAATTAGCAGCTGGATCATGAATAAGTGTGCAAAAATCAGCATACCTTTTACTGAGTCATATTTATACTATTTACAAATAAAAAGAGGCTCCAAGTTCCAAGATCCTTGACCATGAAATCGCTGGTCTGGTCCTGAGTGAAATTAGGGACCAAGAGTGTCTGATTATACCTACTTAGAACATTGTGTTTGGGAATGGATATTAGAGCCAGATCTGAATTTGATGGCTGGTTTGTCCAATTTGACCTAAATCTCTGGATTCAAACACTCCTGATCTTAAAGGTGCTTGAAATCTGAGTCCGGATTTTGCATCTTGATTCTCTGTCTACTGACAGCCATATGTCAGGGATACCAAAGTATTTTTGGGCCTGTTCCCAAGAGTGTCCAGTATAGAGAACAGAACGTAGTGAAGAGCCGGTTATGACATTCGACCACAGCCCAAACATGTGTCTCATGGAATGATTGACAATTTGCCATCTATGTCTTTTGAAATGTTTTTAAATACCTCATTAATCTGCACACATCGTCATTTACATACATAAAAATGGTAGTCTCACCTTATTTCTCACCAAAGACTTAGCAGCAATTCACAGTAGTGATGTCTAAAATTTAATTATTTTTGGAAAATATGCTACAATTCTTTACAAACAGATGAAGTATTACACACAGGCAATAAAACTAAGCTATTGCCAAAAGAGAGGAACAAAATAAACTTTTTCTATTGCAAGTCTTCACTTACTCTAATTCACTATATTTAGTAATGGGTCTCCCAGTCATGAGTGTGAATTAGCCAGGTTCTGCTCTATTTAAATATTTATTCAGATGAAGATTGATTAGGAATGGCTGATGCAAACTGGGATGGTAATAGCTCTGCTAGAAGTATATACAGTCTCTGTAGTTGCCAGACATGTTTCTCTGTTAGTATGGTTTTGTAGACTGCTCAGATGGCCCTTTCTCTAGGAAGTCACTTTGTTTATCTTCTCAGAGGCGCTTCATACCCAAGCTGTAGGCCCCAATTAAACAAAGAACTTAAATGCATGTTTAATCAGGGCCCTGGTTCACCAATAAAGGACAATGATAGGTTTTGAGGTCCTCTGAATAAAACTTAGTGAAATTTTTTTGTTGTTTTTTGCAGACAATCTTTCCTCTGTGCCAGGACTAAAACACTGGTAGTGTGTTCCCTATGTATGAGCTCAGCTCATCGCACTTAAGTGCCAGAAGAAAATGGCATTCCTGAACTGCAGGTGAAAATGCTCAGAGGCACTTTTGGCTGCCAGGAGAACTCTCTGCCTTGCTCAAGGGTGCATGGGAAATCCACAGATTATTTTCTGATGATGTCAAAGATTGTGTGCAGCCCTCAGGCATGCCCTATGCAGGCAACCCTGTATCAGACAATTGCAGCAGAGACAATCCAAAACACTCAGTATACTCACAATGACATTGCTAAACACACCAGTCACCAACTCATGAACAAACACAATAACCAAAAGGGATATCTTTGATACTGGCAGACCAGGTGACAGCTCATGCCAAGGCCCCAAGCCTCACTGAACACTTACAAATGCACAGCTGGAAGCCAGTCTTGCTTACCTGTGTGTTAGCATGATCAAAATAGATATTATCCACTTAACATCTAAGAATGTGTTTACTGTTTAGACTTTAAAAATGCTTGTAGGATGCTGAATGTATTGATCTCACTTGTAACCTTTATCAGCCATGGTGTAAGTTATATTGAGCGTTTGCATTGTAAAACACTAATTGTGTAACTCACCAAACAGGAAAAGTCATATTAATTAAGGTAAAGGTCTTGCCCTGCATACAAGTTGGCCCATTGGTGGCAAAAAAGGTACTGTGTATTATCAAAGGAGAAACCTATGCGTGGACTTATGCCATCAGTTTGGACTCTGTTTCTCCTTGTGAGATACTTTTAGTTCCTCCACTCTAATCTCTTTTATGCTGTCTGTATTCTGAGGGTGTGTCTACATTGCAATTAGACTCCTGCGTCTGGCCCATGCCAGCTGACTAGAGCTCAAAGGGATTGGACTGCAGGGGCTTGTAAATTGCGATGTAGATGTTCTGGCTTGGGCTGCAGCCTGAGCTCTGGGACCCTCCCACCTTACAAGGTCCTACAGCCTGGGCTCCGGTCCTACAGCCTGGGCTCCAGTCCAAGCCCAGATGCTTACACTGAGCCCGAGTCATCTGGCATGGGCCAGCGGCAGATTTTTAACTGCAGTGTAGACATACCCTTAGGGGCAAAGATTCCTAAACATGAGCAAAGAGATCTATCTCCATGCTGCTTGGCATGGGTTATCCTTGAAGACATTTTGAATTAACAGTTTACTACACTGCTGTCACCTTTTGAATTACAGACTCATTTGTGTATGTATGCTTGCTTTAACCTGTAAATAACATTTCTTTTTCCTAGTTCATAAACCTTTAGATAGTTTATTACAGGACTGGCTACAAACATTGTCTCTGGTATGAGATTTTAAGGTACAAATTGACCTCAGGTAAGCGACAGATACATTTTGCAACCTGAACATTTTGTGATCTTTGGTGTAAGTGACTATTTATCACTAAGTCCAGCTTGCCTGGGTAGCAAGACAGACTGGAGTGCCCAAGGGGAGTGTCTGTGATGCCATTGTAGAACTGTCACAGTGATCTAGGAGTTCACATTTGTTATTGGGTTGGTAAAATCTAACTATAGAACACACCACCAGTGTGGGGTGTCTGTCCTATTTTTTGACAGTCTGCCCAGAGTTTGGCACTCCCAGTTGTGAACCATGCCAGACAGCATGACAATATCTCTCCTTAGTCACAACCAAGTGACCTCCCTCCGCGGGAGACGTTCACTGATGTTTGGGAACTTCTCGGATCCGGTGGAGCTGGGCTCTGTGGAATAGCCTATTGACAAATACCAACGTTGTTCATTTCTGTTCTGCGAAAGACAGACGTTGTGTGGAGCATAACAATGGCTAAGTGCACCTATTGGATACGATTTAGGCACTGGACCCTTTGGGATCTGACCCAGCCCAGGGGAAACATTTCTTCAGTGTAGATGGGGCATACCCACTTCACCATCTCTGCAGACAGTCAGCTGCATAATACCAGCTGCTGGTTGTACCAACTCCCATCTCTGCATACAGACCGCTCAGTGTCACAGTTAAGGACTCTTATTCTCCCTACTCTTTTTGGAGTGATTTGTGCCTCAGGAGTGTACAGAGGAAGCAGTTCCCACACTCCTCCAGATTTGTCTATGGGCGATGGAAATGGAGCACAAAGTGGGTCGGAAGGCTCTTTGCACTCCTCCCCAATCCTTATGCACCCGTGTAAAAGCCAGGGATAATCTGGCCCAGCAGATCAGGGAGCTATGGGATAGCTAAAGTCAGGACACATTGCAGTGTCTTTAGAATCCAAGATGTGGAAATCATATTTTGAGTGTAGGTAGAGTCCTTTCCCCCTTTCTCTAAATATTGAGAGCCTTGGTGGATTTCCATGACAGGCTGGAATTTGTGCTATGGGGTGTGGTTAACCAGTTTTACAAACACCTTTGTGACTAATTCTTAATGTCAATGGGTCTGCTTACTTGAGTAGGGAATGTTCATGTGTGTGAGGGTTGCAGAAATGGATCCACAACATTTACATCTTCAAAGTCCTTTACAAATACTACCTAGTTCCCAAAACACCCCTATATCCTTAGTATGCCTTACCCCATTTTGGGAAATTGGGAAGCTGAACCCAGGAGAGGAAATTGTCAGCACTGGGATTAGAATTCAAGGGTTCCTGTTTTCAAGTCCTTTGGTAAACATCACCAGACTGTGTGTCTCTTTAAAAAAAATGTTTAAATTAGATTGAGATGAAAAGAGTAAATCACACAATTATTCCTAAAGACTGCCTTTTTTTTAATTTTAAAATTCTGCATCTGAAAACACAGTATGACAGAAAGCATTTATATACAACCGCAGTGTTTTTGGTATAATACAGTATTTAATACATCCATTTCTTTTTCTGCAAAAAAATTTGCTTTGTCGGACAAAAAACCAAACTCCCATAGACAAAGAATACCGCTAAGGCACATTGTTTTTCTGCTAAATGAAAGACAAAAGGGTGCAAAAATGGGTAGTGCAATAATTGCTGAAAATCACATTCTACTACAAGAAAAGCATTCTGACTTCTGAACTTTGATTACCGGTCAATTTAAGACATTTTAATATCTCATAAAATACTCCTTTAAATAAATAGCAAAATATCTACATCTTTCAGTGTGTGCCATTTGAATTTCCAATTTTTTTTAAACTTTACTGTATATACATGGTTTTTTCTTAATCAATAGATTACAAAATATTTCTGTACAGTTTTATGCATATTATGATATATAACAAAATAGTTATTTCTGAAAACTATATCACTACCAGTCTCTGAGGGAACATTAATAACTTATTATGGAGTACATTAACCAATACAAAAAATCCAAATCAATGGAACAAAAATGAAGAGACAAAGTTAGAAAGATAATTTCATTAGCTCAAATTAATGTGTGTGTGTCATACACTATATTTTCTGTGTAAACCCTTTTCTGGGGTCTTTGGGTTGTACCACTATCAGAAGAAAAAAAAGATGATTCTCAACCTGCAGCCAATGGGCCACTTGCAGCCCAATCAGCATCCAGCTGCTGCCCATGTGACATCCTCAGGGCCATACAGGTAGTATTGGATGCAGCCCCCAATGGTAAATAGGTTGAGAACCACATTCTGGGTCCTTAAAAGCACTGCCAGCCTGCTGGGAATACTGGGACTATTGAAACTCTACTGTTCTCAGTGCCAATGAAGCAAAGAGTTAAAAAGAAAAGTGTCTGAACCTGATCCAAAGATCAGACTGGGCCATACTTTTAATAGTAGTTAGGCATCTAAAGATGTGAATTGGTGCATATGGGAATTTTAAAAGCCATGGGAGTTAGTCACCTATCTACATCTTTAGAGCCTAAATACCTTTAAAAATCTAGCCCTAAATGTCAGAAGTTCTTCTGATTTTTAATCTTCATTGAATTACATAAAAGTCACCAGGACAGATTCTTTCTCAGTTACACTATTGTAAATCAGAGAGGAACTCCAATGAAGTCACACTGGAGCGAGTGGAGTTACTCCAGGATCATGCTGGTGTAACTGAGACCAAATCTGTACAGCTATACAGAAAGTCATGATGTTAGCATTTTGTAGGTAATTAGTCCACCCAGTTTAGCTATAATATGTTGCAGAAGAGAATTCTCATAATTTGCTAAGGATTATAGGTGCATTCAAGCCTTCCTTTTGCCCAAAGGGAAGGTCTTTTTTTTCTTGAAGACTGTATTGTAAGCAATTCCAATTGTATTTGTGAAGTGTCTGCTGATAGCTACACAATTCTGAGTTGCAACAGAAATCTCAAGGTGCCTTTTATTAATTAGGTTGACAACAGACCGAGAGAAAGAGACAACATCTAACTTTCCACTACAGGTTAAGGCCACAATTAAAAAAAAGAAAGAAAGTAAGGCTTTTTTAATCGGGCAATTCACAGAAAGTCACAATGTGAACATACACTTAGAAATTCAAAATGATATGATCTGCTCCAGGAAATCTAAACCAAGATACAATTTCTGACCTTTAGGCTTGGGCCTTTTTTGTAGGTAAACTTGAAAAATGAAAAAAATTGCAGTCGACTTTCTCCTCCAGAATATTCCCAGCAAACTGAAGTTGCCCTTCTTACAAGAGGAACGACTGTCTTCTCAGTCAAGGGTGTTAATTACAACAGAACCAAAGACAAGTAAGTCATTACAATGTACAAATGCAGCGCAATGATCCGTGCAGAAAATTGTTACTCTGTTATCAGAGGCACCTGTACAATATCTTGCTGTTTATTTGGCAAGGTTACAAGTAATACTTCCAAGTTGTAACAAAATAGCGAGAGAATTTGCATAGATTGTACATTCAGCTCAAGGAGATTTCTGGTACCTTTTTTGTTGTTGTCAGGTAAACTTGTTTGCAGACATAGTGAGGTAGCAGCTGTGATAGCACCCATGGGCAAAAGAAGGTAACCAAGGTTGAAGCAAACAGCAAAGAGTGATCTATACACTATTGTTGGTATACGAGAACCAAATAAACAGGGCATCTGCAGTATTACCGTATCACAATTCATCACAGAAAACACCACATGTAACTGAAAATAGCCTAAATGCTACCGTGGCCCTCGTGTCAGCTAACGTGAAAATCTCGTTGTTTCAGTTAAAAATATTTTGGGCTTGATACTCCTCTCATTCACACCAGTTGTGAATCAAGAGTCACTCCGGTGAAGTCAATGGAGTTAAACCAGTGGTAAGTGGTGTGCGGGGAGAATCAGGACCATTGTGTTGTACTCCTACAATGTGGAATTGTGCAATTAACCATTCAAATCTCCCTTTGTACTCTGCACCTTCTAACAGACTGCTATGCAATATAATTATTATTTCCACCACTCAACAGTAATGAGATGTTTGTGAATGCTCAAGCTACACAATGAAAGAGACTATTTAACACAAGATTTCCATACCCGAGGCCAGATCAACCCCTCCCATGCAAAACCTGCAGGAGAGGGCTGGAGGGCAGGAATATCCCAGGAGCATCCCTTTGCAGAATTTTCCCCACATTGTCCTCTCTGCCCAATGAAAGGAGAGAGAGATCCCTCTCACACAAACCACACTGATCCCCTGGGATCCACATGGAAACCATGTACTGGCTATGGAGCCCCAGATCTCCTGCTGCTGCTGCATTGTAGTGTGGCCCCACTGTGGTTAGGGGCATCTGTGGCTGTTCTGGTGACCTCTTTAGCAAAGGAGACCCATTGTGGAGGAAGCTCTTCCAGAAAGGTAACAGAGCGAGAGGCTGTGCTCTCAGGTAATTCCTGCAGAGCCAGCCGGGGAACAATGCAAATCCCCCGACCCTATTGTTTCCTAATACTGGGTCACCTATTCCCTAACCCTAGCCCCCACCCCGCATGGATTCCAACCCCCAGAGAGCACTCTTTTCAGGATCCTGAGAACAGGGGACAATGCTGTGAAATCTACTTTACTTCTGATGCTTGAAGTGTTCATATGAGGTAATATCCTAAGCACCCTATGTTTGGGGCCTAGGATCATTCTTTAGTATAGATGAAATAAAATAATGCATTAAAATGTTACTTCCCATTAGCAAACTGGAGTAAGGAACCTTAGGAGATGCTGCTAACCACCACCTGATGTGTGTATTTTTCTGTTAAAATAAACTAAGTTATTACTAAAAAAAGAAAAGGAGTACTTGCGGCACCTTAGAGACTAACAAATTTATTTGAGTATAAGCTTTCGTGAGCTAATAAATTTGTTAGTCTCTAAGGTGCCACAAGTACTCCTTTTCTTTTTGCGGATACAGACTAACACAGCTGCCACTCTGAAATAAGTTATTACTGGATACGTTACATATCACCACCTCTGAGAATGGGGGAAAGATAGTCCCTGATGATTACCAGCACCTTCAGAGCATCCTTCTATATATCTTTGCACTGAGCAAACTGATTTGCTTTCAAAAGCAAACTTTTCTCATTTATATCTGGGGTTTCAATGCAGTCTGGGGGAGTTGGTCCACACGGGATGGGTGCACAACTCCCTTAGGAGTTATGAAAATTCCAGTCTATATGATCAGAAATAACATACGAACATGTATGGATGCGTGAATTACTCTCTGATCTACAGCCAGCATTTGTTTAATAATAAATCTAAAAGCACTGAAAACGACCGAGCCTGTGGCAGGGCAGTTCCACCCTGTGACCACAAGTGGATGTGTTCTCCTTTTGATCTACATTACAGCCACAAAAGCTGTTCTGTGGCTTCATGGTATAGTGGCCTGCTTTCACTCTGAGGGGAGCATTCTCCCCTCTCGCCTTTGCGGGTTGAGGGGACGAATAGGGGTCTTAGAACTCAAACAATTTAAACTCATAAAGGGTTTTGTTTTGAAACAGTCAAGCTGTAAGTCTTAGATAAAAAAAGGGGGAGGGTCCAGAAAGACGTCTGTTCCAGTTTTTAAAAACTGCCACTCTGATGCAGCTCCATGTTGTAACAATCAAAAGGTTAACGGCAGAAATATTGTTGTTTTCATGACTTCTCCTGACAATACAGATATACAGCATAGTATAACCTACTTGTACAAGATGGTAAATGCTACTTTATGATTCGCAGGAATTCAAATTCAGCCTTCGTATAAGGAAGTTCAACTCAGCTGAAGATAAAGGATTTAGCCCAAGGCTTAGTCTGGCCAGTTGGTTTAAGCTTTGGAGTTCTGGGAAAGACAGAAGGCATTCTCATGGCTACTTCCAAGCAGAGAGTAAGAGGCAATCTGTGGAAGCGAGGGAGCACGGCATTATAGCTATGGGCAAGTTGACAGTTCTGTTTCAAACTAAGAGCGTGTCCACAGAGCAGCTGGGAGCTTGCTTCCCAGAGTGGGTGTGCTCGAGCTAGTGCACTAAAAATAGCACAGTAGCCGAGGTGGCCGAGTACAAACCTGCCCAACCCCCTGGGTATGGACAAGAGCTGCTACAGCCACACTGCAGAGCTAGTGTGTGTCTGGGAAGCCCGTTCCCAGCTGCGGGACCTGATTCAACCTTGTGTAAGGGCTGTAGCTGCCATTGAAATCGATGGAGAGTTGCCCCATAGAGTCCAAACAAAATAAAAAGCTGGGTTTTGTTTTTAATCAGAAAAGTCAAAACCAAGATCCCATAATCCCAGTGCTCCTGAGCCTTAGAGTGAAATAGATAAGAACGAGTTTAGCTTCCCCTCTGTTGCAATATAGAAATACTTTCTAAGGTTGGTGCTTCCTTTACCCTGCATTACCTCCTTTCGAAGGCTTTGGATTTTCTCAGTTCTTTGTTTGAATCACTGTCTCTAGCGCCCTCTTCCCTATACTAGTGAATAAAAGGGATTGTGATGTTACTGGTACCATTAGATTTGTGAAAGATGGCCGGAGGCTGAATACCCATTAGCTGATCCTTTGGAAGGTGCTGTAGGATCATCATTAAAGCAACGGTATGTGCAAGATTTTTTGCGTTGAAGCCAGTATCTAGGAAAGTTAATCTGTTACACCCTACTGTATACACCTAGCTCTCTACACTTAGCAATAGAGATATAGCTTATAGCAGTACTTGCCAATGAGAAAATTGTTAGTATACTCTGTCCCTTCAGCCCTCCATATAGAACAAAAATGAGGACATGATTTTAATACTAAAAATGTCACACATCAGAAACCTAATATATAAATATTATTACTCCATATCCAGTCAAACTTTATAAATAAAAAAACTGGTCCACATCTAGAAAATAAACTCATTTGAACTAATTTCTGTTCGCCTCAAGGTATAATATCACCACAGAAGCAGGTCTGCATATCACTAGAATTCACTTTGGATTTAATTAATAAAAAAGGGTATGCAGGCAGATGTTCTGCATTTTGCCACATATCTTTCTGGCCTGAATCAGGCTGGTTGATTGTACAAGTGCCACATGTCTATCTAGTGGCAGGGGCATGGTGTTTAAATGAGCACATCACTCCACACAGTGCATACGGAAATACACGCTTCTCCCATGGAAGGATATGGTCACAGCCGGCTTTCAAATGGAATCTTAGAAAATATCACTAGCCAGCACGCTCTGAAAATACTATTAGAACTTTCAAATGAACACATGTATAACTTGTTTGTTTCATGTAAACTGTGGCTCCCTGCTTTGAATTCTCCTTTTTACCAAATGTAAGATCTGTGAAAGTTATTCTCTTCTAACAAGATATAATGTTCATCATAGGTATCAAGTGCCCGGTATTTTAGAACTAGAAAAGACACTGAGCAGAATCTAGACCTTAGCAATACTGCCTTAGTAATAATTTTGGGGCAGGCTCTGTTCGCAAATAGAAACAGTCTTGCTTGCCATGATTTTTCACTTCATAATTTATAGAACTTTATGACACACTGTCCATTATATTTTGTATTCTTCTGTATTCTGCAGAATAGCAGCTATGGTAGAACATGATCATTTCGGTCGAAAGCTTGACACTCACCTCAAATAATGCTGTGAACTGAGAAGCTCTCGAGGAGTCTCATTCTCTGCTGCTTTTAAACACATACAGACTTTATTCATAGCCCAGTGTCATACTTTCACTTATGCTGGGCTTGAGTCTAAAGACTGTACTCAGAATCATCCATCCACAGAAGTTTGCCTAAGAAGGACTGCAGGATTTGACCCTTTATTTTTACCTCTAGTATTTTAATAGCAGCACGGGCATTGCCGGCTTGCTACAGTACTTATAGACTCTTTTTGTTATTTAGAAAATAAAATACTATAAAATATTTCTTTTGAGATGTTTACAACATAGCATAAAATTTATGTGTCACCAACAATTTGGGATTTTTAAAAATTGTGAAATAAGAACTAAAACAAAGTCCTTTGAATCTCTTATATTTTAAATGATACAAGTGGTGGCTACTGTTCTATCCATAAAAGAGAGACTGGATTGTTTCCAACTTCTGTTTGAGAAATTTAATAATGAGAACTTCCCAACAAAGCATTAAAAAAACACTCCTCAATAATAAAAAAGGTATCAAATTTAAAAACCTGGTTATCTGTGTGTGTGTGTGTGCGCAAGAGTCCAGATCTCATGAATTCATCAGCAGATTTAACTGGAATGATCTAAAGACTAGGAGAGTGGATGAATCTTATTATTTATACCCTAATCCATGACTGAATGTGATAATCTCCACTTGATCTGCAGGGCTTTTACTTTAGCCATTGCAATTCCTATTGGGTCAATGTGGCTAAAACCCTAAATTCATAGTGAAGATTAGTGGTCCCCTGGAGATTTGACATTTCTGATGGAATGTTAGATAAAAACTATTATTTTTTAAAAAGCACTGAAAGAGAAGTGTTTCTATTATATAAACCTGTTGGCAATGTTGGTCTGAACACACTCACCACTAGAGCCAGCTGAAAAACAGGAACATTGTTTAGACAGAAACTTTCCAACCAGCTCTAATAACTACAAGCTTTTCTAGAACTATACCTCCCAGACTGTCAAAATCAAGAAGGTAGAAAGAAATGGAGGTCTGAGGAGGAAAAGGCCTTTTCTTAATAAAGGCAGCTTTAGTTAGTAAGATAAAATCTTCAAGCTGCAAAAGCAGCACCTACTAATTAGTCATTGACTAAAAACATAAAAAATAAATATCTAAACTGTTCCTCCTATGCATCCACCTTTGTTCCAGATAAACATTTAAATGTTCTGCCTTAATGCCAGCACAGCTGACATTGCAATTTCAAGTCCAAAGCAAACTGCAGGAGCTTTAAACTAAATGGAGAAAAATATAACAAGCCATTGGGATCTCTGTTTTATGGTAATTTTGCAACCATTATTTAAAAGAGAATTCAACCTTTTTTGTGATATGTGGTTATGAAAAGATTAAAGGGTCTATTTCCTTCCTGATGCGTGAGCTTAACTCTCATTAGCGGTAATGAAAGTTATACATGCCACAGAAGGGAAAACAGACACCTTACTTTATTAAATTAACAGGGCATTTTATAATTAATCTCATCAAGGTTCCTTGAAGTTTCTGGGTACATTGTACTCAAGGGCCCACAAAATAAAAGTGCACATTACATGCAAAATGCTTTAGCTGGAGATGAATTTGCATATAAGAAAAATATTTTAAAAAGTCCTCAATTTAAAATTGGATTTTTTTCAGTGTTGAAAGCTCAGGTTCAAATGATGTATCACATCTGTATTTAAACAGGATGCAGCCTGCCCAAGAGTCAAAAGGGTCAATATAAGCAAGATTAGAGCTTGTTGACAAAAATAAATAAAATAAAATAAAAGCACTCTGAAGAAGGGCATTTGCTCTCCTTCATTCAATTCATGGCTTCAGTCAGGAATCTCCATTACACTCAAGGTGCCACTCTCCACAACCTTCCAGATGTACCATGCAATCTCAAAACTATCCTTCTTCATGAATACTGGCAGGTCTGGGACCAACAGAGGCAATTAGTGTTAGACTAGTTAGCCGCTACTTAAAATAGTGCAGAATCAGCTCACTGCATAATTAGGTCCCAGTGTTTCACCCACTGAAATCAATGGAAAAGGTTCCAAACCTAAATCATTAAGGGCCAGATTCTGCCACTTTGACTAACTCAGAGTAGAATCTTACACTGTGAGTTGGCCCATTGAACCCAATCAGGCTACTCATGGAAAAGGGTATGCTGCCATGTGAGCAGGAGTATCACAGCCTGGGTCTGAGCATCCACACATATAAGCTGCATGCACAAACCTGCTGATATATGTGGAATTTACACACCTGCTTATATGCAGAGGGTGTTCTGTGTGGATTTTTTTTAAAATGCAGATTTCAATGGGGACAAGAATCTGGACTTTGGGTAATAAGAATACTTGCTTTTAATACTGCAAGTGGTGCCCAGACCTTGTGGTGACTGATGACTATTCATAATAGGAATAAAAAATATAATTTTATAACACTCATTTTGTTCAGAGATCATCAAATAGATGAGAATGTCTGACTTCTAAAAAGAGAGAGGAAGCCTAATTCACCACTCTGTTAGCCTGGTTTCTATGCCAGTGTGATGCACGCTGGTCTGAAACTGGAGTTAACACAATGATGAATCAAGCCTAGAAATTCTTAACATTATAAAAATAGTCAGGGTGGGTCCCAATGTTTTTATCTTGTAAAACATTTTAACCATATTTTATAGATCATTCTTCCCGGTAAAGATATATTGGAGTTTCTGGTTATTTATGGTAGCAAAATAATTAAAATGTAAATATTCAAAATATGCATAGGTGTTTTTGACAGAAGATATTTTTAGCAACTGCTTCTTTTTTACCCTCTGAACATACCAGATGTGCTATATTACCATTTCATAATCGGAGCAAGAAAATGTTGGCGCCTTTTAGATATGAAGTGAATGAAGAAGGGTTGTGACTCTATAGAAGATACAGAGGAGATGCACAGTGCTGCTGAAGCTTAGACTGATGGATCTGAAGGAGAAACAATGCCAAAGATTTTGCCAGATTTTTAAAAATAGACAACAAAAAGTTTCATCAAGGTTTTGGAATCTGTAGTCAGGTTCATATATAAGCAAGGTTAAATTCTCTTTTAAAACCCGTGCCAAAGAAGGGTATACCAGATGCTACCTCAAACGCCCATCAGGTTTAATGGGACCCAGCTCTGACTTAGGGTCTGGGCTCAGGGAGCTCCAGGCTGTTTGACTGCAAGCCTGCATGACTGGACAGGAAGTTGGACCTGTGCTACAGACATCCACCGCTGACCATATGCTGCTGACCAAGGTGTCCACCCAGTTCTCCAGCTTGGTACCTATGAGCGCTGCATTCTTTTTTGCCTGGTCCACTTGAGCTGCCTTGATAGGGATATTTAAAACCGGATTCAAGCCTTGAAAGCTCTGCTCCATGTATGCGTTCTTAGGAGGCCCACTGTGCAACCTCACAGATTCTTCTGAAAATACAAAAAATAGAGCCCTGTAACAAATACAGCATTTGGGATGTAACTCTAGGACCTAAACAAAATGCAAAGGTTACCGGTGCATCAAACTTAATTTCCATAGCGTTGACCAGTGTTGAGATTGTCCTGTGTAACCAGGATGTGTGGTCTGTTGGGCCAGGCTTTTAGATCTCACATGCTCTAGGTTTTCCCATACTCAAACAAAATCCCAAATCATGAGACGGCTACATTATCAAAATAATGAGGAGATTGGTTTGAAAGTATTACTATTATCATTAATTCTTTGTATTACCATAGCACTGAGGAGCCCTAGTCATGAGCCAAGACCTTATTAAACTTAGGTGTTGTACAAACATGGAACAATCCAGTTCCCAAAGAGCTTGCCCCGATTACAGGAGAATCGGATAAAATGGGTGAAGTTCAGAACTGGAATTTAAACAATGCTCAGTTCTGCTCTAAGCCTAAACTCCACACTTTCCAACTGGGTTCTGTCCCAACAGCAAACATAGATGGGCTGACTGACTTAACCCTCAGATGGTGAAATGAGGACAGAGAAATGAAAGGGAGACCTAAAAAACCACTGTGATCATCACATCAAAGCTAGAGGAACAAGGAACTGTATTTCAAAGGAGAAAAAAGTTAAATAATATTTGGTACAAAAAAGGCTGCCAAACTTTTTCAGACTTAAAGTGTTATCTTAAAGTGTTTGGTTTGGGGAAATGGCTGAGACTTGGGGCTGTTTTTTCTGAACAGATTCACTCCTCCCTATCTTTGAAAGACTGTGGATATGTCACCATACATTTATTAGCTTGACCTACCTCCAAAATGTGGGTGGTATCATTCCCAGAACTTGAAAAGATGTTTGTGTTGGACAGTGTAGATGGGGTTGATGTAATGAATGACCCCAGTGTGGTTCCTGGAAGCACTTCAGGTTGAACCATTTTTATTGGAAACATATTTTTAATAGCAATCACATTTCAAGCTCTTGTGTGAGTAATGCCTAATAATACCCTTTAGTGCACTGTGGTTTTTTTCCTTGCTGCAATTCTTTTAACTCACTAAAATGTGGCACATTGCCCAAAATCTTAATATTCAGTCATATCTATGAAATTACAAAAAGAAACAAAACAGAAACAAAAAGAAAAATAAACCTACTAAAGGCAAATACTAAGGCTATGTCTACACTTAAAATGGTACAGTGGCACAGCTGCTGCTTCAGTGTCGACACACATTACTGTGATGGGCTGGGTTCTCCTGTCACTGTAGTTAATCCACCTCCCCAAGAGACAACAGCAAGGCCTGGCCCGGTCCACACCAGGAGTTAGGTCAGCACAGCGACATCTCTCGCGTGTGGATTTTTCACACCCCTGAACAACAGATATGCCTCATTGACTTCAGTGGGACTATTTGTAGAGTAAGGTACATGCAGGGCTGGCTCTAGGCACCAGCAAAACAAGCAGGTGCTTGGGGTGGCACGTTTCTAGGGGTGGCATTCCGGCGCCGGCCATGCCGCCCCTAGAAATGTGCCCCCGCCACCCCAGCTTGCCTCTGCCTGCTTCCCTGAGTGTGCGGCCGCCGCTCCGCTTCTCCCCCCTCCCTCCCAGGCTTGTTTCGCGCGGCGAGAGAGGGAGGGAGGAGAAGCCAAGCGGCGACGCGCTCGAGCGAGGCGGCAGTGGTGGAGCAGAGGTGAGCTGGGGTGGGGAGCGCTTCCTCTACCCCCCCCCGTTACTGCCTGCGCTCCCTCCCCCGCTCAGCCTCTCCCCTGAACGCGCTGCCTCTCCCTCGCCTGAGAGGGAGGGGGGAGAAGCGGAGCGGCGGCGTGTTCAGGGGAGCAGAGGTGAGTTAGGGTGGGGGTTGCGAAGAGGGGAAGCCACAGGAAGCAATGGGGGTGGGGGGGTGATGCAGCATGCCCGGGGGAGGAGATGGGGCCAGGGATTTGGGGAAGGGGCGCTGTTGGGGCGGAGGGGCACAAAAAAAAGGGAGGGAGGCCAAAATTTTTTTTGCTTGGGGCGGCAAAAATCCTAGAGCCGACCTTGGGTACATGGAAGCAGAATCTGGCCCTATGAAAATATTCACTATGTACCTTTTGCTAAAACGCCTTACAGGTGTGAATTCTCAGTTTATACACTTATTTCTTTCAGTTCTCAGTTCACTTCTTGTAACATCAGCACTCAGTGTTACATAAAGGATTTGCTTAACTTTGCCAAGATACACATTGTCTAGAACACAAAATGGGCTCATTCAAGTCCCTCCAGGGCTAGGAAAGTCACACTATGTTCAGATATCATTTACAGGCCAGAAATCACATGCTAGTGTCTACAATTCCTGTCTCATGTCCATGATGCTTCTTTATTCATCTGAAACCCTATTTTAGCTAAGATTTTGCCTATCCCCAAACCCATTAGACAAAACAGGCTTGTGCCATGCAGCTCTATCAGAAATGCGTGTCTGACAGAGGACTGTAGTAGGAAACAAAACAAGGACACATAATTCAATTTCCTGCTTTGGAAGCAACTAAATATGCAAGATTGTTTGTAACCCTATTAATTAAAAGGGAATGCCTAAGCAAAAAGGTAAAACAAATAGAGTACTGTAACACTGAACTGACAGAGGTACTGACTTTCAACTCAAACACAAAACCAAGGAACTGGCCACTTGTTAAAAGATCCCGGAGCATTTTTTGCTGGAATAAGGGTATTAATCTCTGGGTCCTTCACAAATTTGAATTTGAGCAATTATATTTTGACTTCATAACTCCTCCTTGTAGTTGCATGCTATTTTGCATGTCCATCATTAAATTGTTATGTTGTTCTGCACTATTGAGGAGTTAATGTGTTGAGTCACGGAGCTGCCTGCATTTCAATGGTGAGCAATACAATGTTGGCACACCATTTGTAAAAGTTTATAGTGCCTTTTTAGATGGACTTGTATGAAAGGTATTCACAAAATATTATTAGTAGTATATAGCTATGCAAGAGAAGATTGCTTAACAGAATACTCTGCTTAAGAGAATAAAACAATATTTCCCATTTGATAGAAGTCCTGTTGTGGCATAAAGTGGAAAGCTTTTTCTTTGGTTTAAAAGACAGGTTGTGGAATTCAATAATTGCTCTACTTAGATCTGGCACTTTTCATCCACTGATCTTAAAAGAGTTTTACAAAGTTGGGCATCATTATCCTCATTTAAGACACAGGGAAACTGAGGCACAAAGAGGCAAAGCAACTTGCCCAGTGTCATGCAGCAGGTCACTGGCAGAAGTGAGAACAAAACTCAGATTTCCGGACTCCTCATTGATAGGATCACACTGCCTCCCATAAGCAACTTTTGTAAAAGGCGCATTATGCTGTGACCCAGGGACCCCTTGATGCCAACTGGCAGAGGGCATAAAGGGTGCATAGGGGTTTATAGGCATGTCCTGACTCTAACATCTACATAATAGTACACCAAAGCATGGCATGTGAGGCCTCTACGAACAGCCAGTAAAAGCATTGGTCATCCTAATCATTGCAGGATGTACGCACACATGATATTTAAGGACTTATGTGTCTATACTGAAAACTATGTTCTTAAGGTATGTAAGTTAAGACAGCTCAACAGAAAGTTCAAGCCAGGGATAGGAGACAGTTCTCTTCCTGGATGACCCTTGTGTAACTTACAATGTGAGTCTATCTGCATACAGAGCCACCAGCACAGTTTGCAAAAATTAACAGGAAAGAAGCCTACAGGAAAAAACAATGAGTACGGAGGAGGCTGTCCTGTTTATGAGTAAAGACAATGGATTGTTGGAATACATCTAGGAATACAGGGGAAAACCCAGGATACTTCGCCTAGGGCACAAGTTGCCAGTCTACATGTCTTATAAACAGAGGGTCACAGCCAGCCAGGCTGTAAAATGCTGGGACAAAGACTTTGGGGGTAAGCTAAACTCTACAGGACCTGGTTAGATAAGGCTACGCTCTATAATGCCTGTTATGATTTTATTTAATATGTAGCCACTTGTTTCCATTCCATCTACTTGCTTCTTCTCAAATCTCTATTTGTTAAATAAACTTATTTCTTTCCACTGTAAACATATCTAAGTGCTGTGTGTTAAGGAGAGCGGTGATCCTGAGATGCAACTGGCAAACTGGGGTGTACTACTCTTGTGGGACCTGTGAATTCTGTGAGCAGCCAGTGGAAGAGGGACTGGACACACCATGGGGATGCTCAGAGGTTGGAGTGTGCCCATCACTTTCCTGGAGAGAGACAGCAGGGCCTGTGTAGGCTGAGAGGGGAGTACTTGTGTTGCCCATGGCTGGTAGAGATGGGGAGCTGACCATCGGCAGGCACAGAAAAAGGCTTCCTCACAGTAAAGCCAGGTGGTAGGGAGGTGCCTCGCAACTTTGGGTACTTCTGGGAAGCATCACATATGTAGCTAAAGCATTGATACTGTATATTAAATTGGTATATTTGGCTCTGACCTTGCTCTCCTCTCACAGAAAAAAAGAAGGGGTGTAAGATCAGGCCCCATACAAATAAAATACATTTTATAGTAAAAACAGTCATGGTCATAACATATTATTGATAATTAATTACTCTGCAGTCACTAAGCCAAATTCTTTGTGAGAGAGTATATCCCAGTGAAACCTCTCTGATTTCAGTGGTGGGCATGAGATGTACATCAGTGCAAAATATAGCTTATTCACTCCAAATTACATTCTTAGGATAAAAATTTTGCTTCAATTATTGTTGATTCTCCACACTGGGTGCACACTTGACTCCTCAGTAGCTTTTCCTAGTATAATTTCTCTCTCTCTAATGGCTGTGCATCCCATAGTCTGTTGCAAAGATTAAAACTTCAGCACTCTTTTTTTGGGTTCTTCAATGTGCGGAAAAAGAAGTTAGAGAGCTGGACAGAGGAGTGGAAAGTGTGGCTAGCTTGGTGCATAACAACACTGTGTTTGTAATTTTTTAAAACAATACAGATTGGAGTTTTTCTTGAATTCCACGGAAC